GCAGCCAAATGAACCAGACCGTCAAATTTGCCCTGTAAAACTTAAGAGTAAATAAACATCGAAACCAAGATTTGTTCAGAACTGTTATTTCAACACTTTGAAAATTGACTTTCCTTCAACATAGGCACTAGCAATCAATGATAACTTGTTTTATGATTCAGCGAATATCACTAGGGGTTGATCTGAAGACTTATTCGGCAGCGTGTGAGTCGAATCAACGGTTCTGACGAAGACGAAGACGTCATACAAATAAAGTCAAATAAATTCCCATGTCAACCTCGTGATCTTAGCTAAATCCTTAAAGGATCAAGTGATTCGATGCGTTGGAATAAATCCTTTTACTGTGAAAGTTTCAAAACAAGTTATGGTAGAAGCACAAAAAATCGTTCCTCCCAAGCTCCTCGGAATCCATTCGGGAAAGACTAGAGAGCTATCCGTGTCCACGAAGCCCCTACGTCCACGTTCAAAGCTCAGAAAACCACAAGTTGGGTACAAAAAGCTGAACACAGCAGAGAAAATGGGCCTCGTTCCCCTAACCTTGATCTTGAGAGAGCACATGAAAACGGCGCATGCAAGAGTTATTCCACAGTCCTTATGAAAACCGAAAAAGAAAACAACGAGGAGGCTGTAGAACATTTTTACCGAGTGCTAGAAGACGTTAACACCTGGCTTGCATTTCAATCAAATATACGCCACTACTACTTTGAATTATTACCCATATAGGCAGAACTAAGCTTAAGGAACCTACTTTGGTGGAATAAAGATAAAAATAAAAAATTATAGGTAAGATAAGACGAGTAACGGATAGGACAGGTGGTAGGTAAGATATTATAGGGCAAAATCAAAGGTAATCAAGGTTCTCTTCTATAGGACGGAAACAAACGAAAGAACAGTCCATTTCGCTGGACAAGAACTCTTCATAAGAGTGTCAGTGATCGCTCTAAAAAGAACTTAAATCGCTTGTTACCGCCCTACGCGCTCCTTTTTTGAAAAGACCTCTTCAAAACGCTGAAAAATTCAAAGTAAAATTATGTTTTACACCAGCTGCGTTCTTTTACTGCTACTTCGCTGGAAGCATGAAAAGCACATGAACGTGTAGAGGAAATCTTGCAGTTTAAGAGTCATATGTTTTGGCTGGAGTTTCTCGCAAAGCAGAGGAAAAATCCAGAATTAAATGACAAAAATGCACTCCACATGTGAGTCGCGCCAGCGCAATCGATCGATCGTCGTACGGAATCCACAGCCACCCGCTCGCCGCCCAGCACGCGCACTAGCCGACAAGCATAGGCGCCGCTTATGTGAAACTCAGTCTTATTTTCCCTGCTACATTGCAGTGGAACGGTTTTTCTAGAAAGTAATCACAGAGCTGGAATCGTCGAAATTTACGCTATCGAAAAGTTATTTACAAATTGACATAATTAATAATAAAAAAATTGTAGGAAAAAATAGTGAGTACATTGATGACTAAGCTACCTCAAAACTGAGTAAACTCTTTATTCTTCTGAAGTGAATGGAATCAAACCTTAGCAAAAACGGAATCCAAGTGTTCTAAATCGCAAACATCACATTCTTCGAATGGAATCGTTTTTTCCGACTAATTCACCGACTCGTTGGAGCGAAACAGCATTTCCTTTGTCATCTGAAGGTAACATGAACAAAAACTTGACAGCAATCAACAAAAATCTTTTCACAATTGTATACCCACTGATGTAGAGTGATGTGCAAAACTTCCGCGTCAGGCGGGACTAGAACCCGCACCTTATTCTTTCCGGGAATGCGTGCTGTATCCGTTACACGACTGACGCCCATTTTGTATTTTGATAAATGCGATGTAGCGTAGAAAGAGCGATGTGGAAAATGGGCTTCAGTAGCGTAACGGATAGAGCACACATTCCCGGAAAGAATGAGGTGCGGGTTCTAGTCCCGCCGGACGCGAAAATTTTGCACATCACTCCACATCAATGGGTATACATTTCTGTAACATCATACCACCGCTAGAGCGGTTAAGAATCTTTTCATTCAACCACTTTTGTAGCAGTGGAACTACATTTCCCAGAATGTTAAGTCACATGTAAAACTTTGAACCACGACGGGGATCGAACTTGCGTCCCACCTTGTCCGAAAAAAAAGGGGGGGCGGGCTCTTCTTTTTCTTGGATATATAGCAAACTCTCTCTTATTTCTGGATATGCGGTTAGGACTTCAAAGTGCTCGAAGGATATATTTAGGCTTGATAACCCAATTTGAAGAGTATTCAAATAAGTAACGACAAATATAGAAACTCGAAGCGAACCTCGAACAGAATTGGAGAAGTTGTCGATGCACATCACCTCGTATCCCGCTTCGACAAGCTCGAGTGTCGTATGGCTACCAATGTAACCAGCAGCACCGGTCACCAGAATTCTCATAGCCCTGAAAAAGCTAAACACCTAATGAGAACAAAAATCTATTGATGTTAGATTGGCCACGAATGCGAAAGAAACGGGGTCAAATATAGCGCATGTGCTGAATCACAGGGTTAATCTATCACCAGCAGAGGAACGCGTCCATTTATGACTTACTGTAAATCCAAAAACAAATTCGTTGTATGGCCTACAGATGAATAAGTCAAGGCACTTATATACAAGGAGAGGGAGGGAGGGGGGAGAGCGTAGCCGAGTGACTATGATGCTCGTCGCGGAGTGCGCGGGACCGATCCCCACTCCTCCTGAGCGTTGTAGAATACTGGTTGAACGAAGCTCCTTGCTCGAAGATAGTTTGGATGTGGCGTTCCACATGGCGCCCGTCGTTGACTGCCAAAAAGTGTTGGCTGGCGGGAATAGATCATGCGTACGTCGCGACAACCATCACAACCACTCGGCCAGGAAACCCCCAAAAAAGTGCCCCAAACGAAAATAAATCCAAGGATTCTGAGTGATAGGCAAAAATTTCGAACCTAAACAGGAGTCCAGTTCACGTTCAACGGGGGGGGGGGGGGGGGAGATTCAATTCAAAGGGATCAACTCATCTACCCCCAAGATCTCCGTTCTACAAAATTTCTGCTTCGATCTACTTTTGACCAAGTCACATAAACCTGAGTGATACCATCCGAAGAGACGATACTGCGGAAAGTGACTTCATTTTTTATAGTAAAAAATCGGACGTTAAGTAGGGGCGCCGTGATCGAATGGTTGTGATACTCGTCGTGGTGCACCTGGGGGCTGAACCCCCAGCTCCCAACACTCTCCGGCAGTCAACAACAGACGCCCTAGGGGAACGCCGCAGCCTGGCTATCCTCGAAATTGCAACGAGACGTGCTCAACCAGTATTCTATGACGTTTAAGAAGGGGGAAGAAATAACAAATTGAATGCTAGAATGCACTGGGATCCGAACAGTGCAAAAATAAAACATTGTGAAGAAGGATCAATTATAGGTCAAAAAGTGATGCACTGATAATTCATCTTAACTTTGGACGTCCATTTCATCGACATCTCGCCATAATCATGCCCGCATTATATAGACTTTGGACGGTTAGTCTCCACCTGAAGAAGGTCCCTAGAAGACCCGCATGTGGAAAATTTGCGGATCTGTTATTTTCTATCAAGTACGACGATTGAGATCTACGTTTGGTGATTCTTTTCTCGTTTTTTTCCCTTGTGTTGGGGTTATTGAGAATATTTGAGTGATCGAATTACACCTCCAGTGGCGTTCTTTTGGTGCTGTTACGGAGGTTCAGTTTTGTTTCTTGAGTTGTCGTAGCACAGATTTTTAATATTCAATAAGGATTTTTCCTCCATTTGCAAAGTAGAACCTTAGAGTGTACAACACTCTGTGTAAGGTGAGTTTTTCACTGGACATAGAGTGTAAAGCGTTCGTCATCGCTAACTCGTATTGTGGGGACTGGAGCACCCACCGAGATTAGCAAAAGACGAGAAAGGGTAAGTGCCCGATTGACGAGATCGCAAGATCGAAACATGTGTATCGGGCTCTATAAGGAAGCCCTCATTGACAGACCACTGACATGCGTGGCTCAAATAATGATTATCAGGCATATTAGAATCTTAGATTTTTTGAGTTGCACTTTTACTCCATGATTTTCTCTATATGCTCATATATTTTTCGTGCATATGTAACTCTTTTGTGCGATAAAAACTTTGAATGCGAAACGTAATCTTCTTTTTGGCTCTTATAGCGTTCTAGGATAACTTTCAGAAAAACCAATCATAGAATCGAAATCCTCAAGGTTTGCGCTACCAAATGACTATTGAAAAAGTGTCGGTGGTGCAATGGTAAGCATACGCTCTTAGAAAGAGTGAGATCTGGGTTCGATTCCCGACTGACGCAAATGTTTTTGCACAGCACTCTACATGGTTGACTAATAAGAGTTTGACGAGGAGCCATACAGAAGCACCAGGCGAGCAAATGAAGTAAACTGATTGTGAAACATAATTCTACTTGCGCTGCTACAACGTAGTAAAAACGTTTTTTTCTAAAATCAAAACATATTGTTGAAATCGCAGAGGCTTGAGCTTTTGATTAGATACTAAGCGTCGAGGAAGAAAGTTTTCCTCAGCGAGAAAAAACCCCTTTGAACAATCGTGTACCACCGATGGTACACGTCGTCGTTTAGAGATCGAAACGGATAAGGATCATATCCACTCAAATCCTTTTCGATGTAGATCAACAGAAGAAAATCCCTACGTGATCCACAAACCGGATGACGTCATCGCATAGACATTTATATAAATAAGAGACATCAGAAAAACCATTGATAAATGAATTACACGAGATGGGAACGACTGAAATGACTGCGAGCTGCCAATGGACGTCCACGTGGAAAACAGCCACCACCACCAACAATGCGCACATCACATCTATTTATTGATCGCCCTCTTCAAAAACGGACATTTTTCAATTGTAAGGCGAATTTTTCGCACGAAATACACTTTATGGAAACTCCAAGAAATAATGAGTTTGGTTTTTTGCGTTTCTAATAATGTGGAGTGCTGTGCAAAAACATTTGCGTCAGCCGGAATTCGAACCCGAATCTCACTTTCCCGGAGCGTATGCTGACCATTGCACCAGCGACGCTTTTGTGTTTCGCTTACTTAATCTCATTATTAAAATCCTGCAATCAGCATAATCGATCTGCGTTTTAATCGACGAACATTCCCACTATTTTTCGTAAAGAATAACCACCTTTATCTTGACTACTTTCAAGCTATATTCAGTCAACACTAAGAAAAAAAAAGACTATTTGTTGTAATACACCTAAAGATGTAGAGTGAAGTGCAAAAGTTTTGCCTTAGCGGAGACTCGAACCCGGATTCCATCCTATTTGGAAGAGCGTGCTAGAGCTGTTGCACTACCGATGTATAGGAAGAAATCTGGGTTCGAATCCCACTTGACGCAAAACTTTTGTGTATCACTCTACGTCTTCAGGTATATTATAACATCATAGCAAAGCCGAAAGCGGTTAAACAAGACGAATTTTACTTGTAAATATTGTCTTTCAATTCGTGAGTACAAAGTTCCCAATCGGTTGGCGAGATGGCGTAGTGGTTAAAGGCGAGGGGAGCATAGGGAAGCAATGCCTTGGTTCGATCTCTGACCCCATCACTTACCTCCAGTCAATCAACGGACGTCTTCGGGGACACCTTAGCTCGCCTATCTCCGCGATTGCAAGGAGATTCGTCTCGCTTGACATTCTATGACGTCTTCGTAGAGAAGACGAGATCCTTGAAACTAGCCGAAGCGACACTCGGAATAGTCGAAGACCTTTGTGGAGGATCCAGGAACTCTTAGTCTCGCTAACTCTTAGTGTGGGGACTGGAGCTCCCACACAGGATTGGCAAAAGACGAGAAAGGGTAACTGCCCGACTGACGAGATTGCAAGATCGAAACACGTGTATCGGGCTCTATAAGTCAGTCCTATTTGATAGACCACTAACATGCGTGGCTCAAAAAATGATTATCAGGCATATTGAGATCCAGTAAGTGCTGAATTCCTCACAATAAATTATTATTGGCGAGTCTGTGGACACTTTAATAACATGCCTGATTATGAACTCACAACTTACACTGAGTTACATTTTTTCTAAAATACGGATTTACGTATCGAATGTAGCGAATCGTTGCGATCAAAATTTTTTCTGGTAGTATTTATACATTTAGGAATATTAATTGGTACGCAAAATTTCGACCTTAAGCGAAAGCTGAACCTGCGTTTGACGTTTCGCAGGGTAACGTGCTACCACTACACCTTCGAGACCATCGCTTTGTCACCGTTTCCGTTAGCATTTCGAGCGATTGCGTTGCTTCTAAAAAGATACGGGATACTTTGAGCTCGCGAAGAGGTCATCGGAGATATCTTCGGAGACAAGAAAGTCCTGATTTAACTTTGACTCTGACACTAAACGACTTTCCCCTTAAGTTCATGTGCTTCTCCTGCTTCTGGCGAAGTAAAGTCGAATTGCGCATCCGGTGTAATATTGATTTTATTTTGAAATTTACAACGTTATATAAGGGTTTTCCCGAAAAACGGTCACGTACCGCGTTGGCCAGAGACATAAGCTTTTTAAAGATAACTCACACTCTTATGAAAAGTTCTATTCAGCGACTAAGGTGGAATATTCATCTGCTGCCGTCTAACGGAAAAGTACCTATCAAAAAATACAATAGTGTGAGGCATCGACCCGGTAACGTCGTACAGGTTCCAAAAGCGACTGCGATGTCATTGCGACACCTTCAATTCCAGAAAATGATCGTTGAAATGTTCTCAAAAGATCTACATAGCCCTGCTCGTGTTTCAAGAAAAAGAGACAACTATATAAAAAATAATGATGACTGCATAGCCTAGTGATATAATGGTTTTCTAGAGACCAACAACACAGTACAATCCAAGTCTTCACATGAACAGTATTAACAAAAGAAAAAGAAATCTAAGAGAGTCTTGAAACTCACTAAAGCTCACAAGTAGTTGACGATCTTCTCCACTGATGAAGATCATCTACAAAATTCTCTGTGGGCTTCCCCAAGCGACGACGAGATCGAGGAATGGTCCACAAGGACTCTCCCCTTTGAAATGTCTCTCTAACCATCAAACAATCATCAAACCATCCAAAACCAAGTCTTTTTTAAGGGCTAAATTCGACATGAGGACCATTCTTGTCTACTAGTCCAAGTATGGGGTTTCCTGTAGGAAAAACGCACAATGCCCTGTTTTTTCATTTCCCTTTTCATCGCTTAAACTCAAGAAGGAGAAGAAGGAAAACAGCGCGAAAAGTGTATTTTTTATGATACAAAAACCAAAAATGTCAAGCAAAATGCGAAATATCAAAATTACACTCATGACTGGAAAGAACACAGTGACCAGAAAAATGATGACTATAAGCTCCTTATTGCGAAAAATGGATACTTCACAAGTAATAATCAATAAATTCAATAAAACCAATAGAAAAGACGATGGATCATCAATAACATCATTTTCATAACATGCAAAGTGATCTCTTTATTTCATTATATCTTAACAAGCGACCATTACTTAACCTCGGCTTAAACAACCAATACATTCTTTACGGTTTTGGCAGCTTATACAAATTGAACCTATTCAGCTAAAAGTTCGTATGAGCGGAGAAAATTCATCGTTTTTATCTTCAAACAAGGTGCAAATGATACCACGAAAACACATTGCTGAATAAAATGAACAAAACAGTCAAGTTAAGAATAACTCTACTCACAGACATAGCAACCCTAAGACTAAGCCAAAGCTAAGCCTTAGAGACTAAGTCTAGGCCTAAGCCTAAGTCTAGTCCTAAGCCTAAACTAAGCCTAGGCCTAAACCTTACAGAAAGTACTAGCTGTGGTTACAAACACGAAAACTCGGATGGAATGGTAATTAGAAGGCTTTATAAAATGCAATAAGTGAGGCAATAAGTGAGAATGTTGCCTGTTGACGAGGTGATAGCTTACCAGACCACAAAAAACTTTTATAAGGAAGAGAATGTATGGCTACTATGAAGTCACTAACAAGACCAATCAGTGTCAATAGATCTTCGTGCGCCTTTTCTAGACCTTTCCTAGAAATAACACGTAATAGTCGGATGATTCCCGAGACGAGAGCGGTGATCCACAGATACAAACACCATCTCCAGAGCGGCGCCGAGTCCATGGCAAGAACCCTGGCATCGGAAAGCCAGGCCAGGAGTTCCACAACACCGTAGATTGTGTAGACGATAGTCGTCGTTGCTGTACAGAAGTGCTCCAAACGATCCGTTGGTTGCCGAGTATTCAGAAGATCCCAGCAAGACTTTATCATCGACGGATGATTAAACTGCCTCATGACAAGACGAGCGGATGAGCACTGTTTGGCCAGTGCCAATACTATCTCTTTCCTGCTAGATGACTGAGCTTTCAACGTGAGCATAAAACTGACCGATCTCAGCGCTTTGTCTCTTCCGCTATAAGTGCTTAAAACTCCTGCCAGTGCATCCAGGTTCTCCCGGAGAGACGCCATTTGTCGAGTAGAACGGGTCGTCGCCGACTAGGGAATGCGACATGCGCAATAGAACACCACAATCACAAGTGTGACGAGGCTATGCTCGGCCCGAGACGGCAATCATTGATAAGAGAACGTGTCTGACTTCCCTGACCGGTTGGCCCGATTAAGGCGTTCAGAATCTAAATGAATTCTTCAATTTTATTGCTTTTTAGCAATAAAATAATGTTTCAATTTATTTTTAAGAGACTAAATGGTATGTAAAACACTCGACATCGGGCGGGAATTGAACCTACGTTTCAACCATACTGCGGGGCGCGTGCTACCCCAATACCACCGATGTTTCAGATTGTAAAATTCGAATATTAGCATAATTATTTCGATGCCGATATCTGCTTAACAGATAAAACCCTTTAAAGGTTAGTTCCTGACAGTTTCGATGGTTTAAGTTCAAGGAAGAATGATACTAGAACGGTAGCATCCGTGGATGTAGCGGTAGCACCCGCGCCCGGTATGGGTGAAACGCGGGTTCAACTATGTCCTATGTCAATCAGTTTTATTCCGAATCTCCTTTTCCTCAAAGAAAAACCCGGTTTGACACAGCTATCTGTGTTAGAGACGATAGTATATGATGTAGACAAGTAGGTTGTCCCATACATGACACAGTTGGGATCTGTACAATTTTCTTTATCACAAAGACAATATTCATGTGTCTGCTAAATATATAAATCATTTGTACTGCAACAACTGTCAACGAATCTTTAACATACGAAAGAAACAAGGACAGTACAACAATGAAAGTGAGATATCTTCATCGATTTAAGAAAATTATAGCAAGCTTTCTATGAGAGTATCTCTTAGTTGTGTACTAATTGCGGCCGGTTGCCCTTGGTCGCCGAGTTTGAATATCGACTCCACTACCGATAGTTCAGTTGAGGTAGTATCCAAACCTGTAATTCAAATGAGTAAAGTAATTAGAAATGTCACAAATAATGATGGAAAAGCTCACACAAAACCAACAGACATTCCCAAATGTGCTGAATAACCATAAAAAGCTTAATTCTATAATGCTGAGTAATATGTACAACTCTGACTGTAGGACGGGAATCAAACCCGCATCATACCCTCCTCAGGGACGCGTGTTAACCTATCGCACCACCCGGATTACTGTTCTAAAAAGCTTGTTTAACCCATTCCCGACAGTACTCAATCACGATCACTTTTTTCTATCTAATTTTCTTTATTGCATAGAGATCTATGCGTATCCAATTAATAGCCACACTCACACAAATTGTAGCAGGAGATAGTCTAAAAAGCTTCAATCCAGAAGGAGATAAGGATATTTTTCTTTCCGATTCAATGGCTTAAACACTGAAAATGCATCATAAGAGTATCGCAGACGAGAAATACCACAACATCGTGGCGTATCGCAGTTTATTTTTATTTTTTCCAACACAAGAGATTGATCACGCTATTCCACGACGCCAGGCTATCAAAGACAGGGTTGGCCGGGCACCTGATCGTTTCAATAACAACCGACAGACGGATGCCGTATCACAAGAAGACTACCGACTCGTTAGTCCGATTTTTTCAC